AAAAAAATCCAAAAAAATATCAAATTTATCGCGAGGTCGTCAAATAGCTCAAAAAATCCCCCCCCCCCCCCCCCCCCCCCCCAAAAAAAAAAAAAAAAAAAACACAGAAAAGTCAGTGGTTACAACTTGACAAATTGTTAAAAGGGCTTAAGGGGAATAAATTGTTTTGCAATGCACTGTATCTGGAAACAAATATAAAAAACTTAAAGTAAACAAATCAAAATGTAAGGTATAAATGCATAAAAGTAATGCTATTCAACTCTCTTCAGCACTCGAGAAGTTCCAAGAAGTTCTGTTGTTGAACTATAAGTCCTTCCGCAAGTGAACCTGGCACACTACTCCTCGCAGCCGTTTCTTTGTTTTTCTTTTTTTTTTTGATCAGAGTTCAGAGCCGCGCCACTGCTTTGGAGTGTTAAAGAGACATGATGTGGATGGATGCGGGGAAAAATAGCATTACAAACAGACTGCATTTGCATGACTTTCATCAGCCCATCTCCAGCCGTCAGAAGTGCCTGTTACTGATTGGGTTAGAGGGGGGAAAAAAAGGTGCAGAGTGTGGAGGACAGAACAGGGAAGGCGAACTGAGCCCCACTGAATGTTCATGTTTGATTAATCAAAGTAGAAAGGAGTTTTTTTTTTTTTTTTTTTCCCCCCCCCTCCTGTAATTTTGCAGTGCTGAGGGCTGCAGAGCTGACCAGAAGCGCAGGCTGATACAAACAAGATAGCGAGAGGAATATGAAACGAGGAAAGAGCTTGCGTACATGTCAGAATGGACGCCTGAAGTTTTATCCTTATCTGAGGCCTCAAGATGGGCGGCGATGGAAGATGCATGAGAACTCGCAGAACCTTGCAAAGTATTCATACCCCTTGAAGTTTCCTACATTTTGTCACATTAAACCACAAAGCTTAAGACTTATCTATGGGGTTTTTAAGTGACAGACAGAGCATAATACAAACTGAGGTGGAAGGAAAACTATGGTTCATACATTTTGCTTTTGTTTTGTTTTTTTAAATGAAGAAAAATCTGAATAATGTTTGCTGACCATACATCTTTCAATCCCTTTACCCTGTTAAACCCAAATTAAACAAATTTTCTTCGGAAGTACTACAGCTTGAGAGTAAATCTGTGCGTAATTTAATCTCATTAATTTGTTCTGTGAATATCTTAAAATTTAAAGAAATTTTAAACGTCAAAAGTTTGTGCACCGTGCAACTTGAGCTGGCACACCAAGGAGAGAACACAAAAAACAAATCGTCCTGTGGCGACTCTGGAGGAGTTGTGGAGATCCACAGCTCAGGTGGGAGGGTCAGTTACACAGAAACAAGTAATACCTCATGATAATTGCTTAATGCAGTTTGTGTTGCAAATGTACCTCTTAGCAACTTCCAACAATTTAGGGCTGAAATGGATAATCAGATTAATCGTGATAAATCAATTTTTGTAATAAACGTCAACTAATTTAGCAATCAATTAATCCATAACTGGAGTATATAGATCTCAAAACAGGCCATTTGCTGAAAAAAAAAAAAAAAAAAAAAAACTAAAATAAATAAATAATTGCCGTGTTTTAGCTTCACCTGGTTCAAATTCAGTGAAATAATCCCATTTTTTAATGCGTTTCTAATCTGTAAAATGTGCCGATGTTGTTTATCCGTTTATATAATTGTCAGAATAATCTGTTAGCTGAAGCCCTGTCAGAATTTCATGATTTATGTTCTTCAAAATACTTTAAAGAAATTTGAAAATGATGCATCTATAAAGAGGCGGGGGCGGTGGGGGAGGGGGGGAAAAACAATGACATCTAAATATAAAATGACAAAATGTGAAAAAAAAGTTCAAGGGGTATAAATATTTTGCAGGGTGCTGCATCTACACCCAGAGAACTCGGCAGAGAGAAAATGTGGCTCGTTCTCCTGTTTACTGGCAGCGAACTGCAAGGGCTCCGAAGAAACCAGCTCAAAACTTTAAAGTTCAGCTTAACAAACTCTGAAACACCCAGAGGGTATAGCCATGCCAACAGTGCAACAGCAGACTTTGAGTATGATACAAAAACAGTACACAGACATTAAGCAGTGGACAGCCATCTCAGCTATTCACTTGGATGTATAATTCAGCACCAGCGATTAGTCTGGATCTTACAGAAGCCAGCAAGGAGGAGGAGATGGAGGGAGGGGAGCGAGGGGAGGGTCGTACATTGCACACAAGAGAGCTGGACGTGAGGCACAGATGGGCGAGAAAACACACGAGAAAGACGGGCGGAGATGGAGAGAAGCCAACCGACGGACAGACTGAGCGCATCGCACACTCACAACGCTCCTGTTTAATGTCAGTCGGTGGAGATGAAGCCCGAAAACCGGCGTCCAGGCGTCTCCGAGGAAATAGTAAGAGACGTGTGGAAAGCTGACATCAAAAAAATAAAGGGGAGCGGCGTGACACAAAACAAGCTGGATGGGCCTCGGAGCGGCAAGCTGTGCAAAACATCGAAACCCTCGAAGAGGAGGGGAAAAAAAAAGAAAGCGGGAGAGGGGTGATGAGACAAAGCCTGAGTGACCATGTGGGTTGGATAGTGAAGGTCCACCACATACGACTTAAAAGCCGGCCCTTTTATAATGTATGACTGAGACAAGGCGCAAAAACATCCGAGGAAATGGCAAAGAAAGACAAAAAAAGAGTGGGGGTTGACTCTGAATCTCGGAACGAGGCCAAAGCAGCTCGGAGATCTGAACCGATACACAGACAACAAGAGTTGAGACGGCCCACCCTGCTGTGCAAAAAGCAGCCTGCTAAACGGCTGCTCAGAAGCATCGGGGTTGTTGGCTCCGGAGCCAACGGCGTGTGCCAAGAATCATTCAGAGCGGGAGAGTCCCCAGAGCTAGCTTCTGCTAGCTCGCGCCTTTTATTTCCTGTGTTCAGAGGGGCTGTTTAGGAGGCTAATTTAACAGGCAAACAGATTATGTTAATCCGTGTAAACATTCAAACAACAGCTTGGCTGCCATCCGGGGGGAAATAAACAGTTGAGAACCAGCATATTGATACTGAGAGCTCTGGCATCTTCAAAAAGGCAACACGAAAGCTGTAATGAGACTTGTTGAGCGTTTAGTGCTTTTTTTTTTTCCCTGCGCTTCCTCTACTTTGTTTTTTTTTGCCACCAATTAAGACGTGGAAAACATGACACATTGAGACCATATCTGGTGGTTGCATTTTATCTAAACTTGAGAAGAATTGAGGATGAGGGTACGGCCTTTGTTTTTGGTTCTGCTCTGATGCATCGAATAAAGATCTGACAGCCCCAATTTAAAATTATCTTCCAATCACAGACTTTTTTAAAAATTATTTTTATCAGATTACAGTTTATATTTAATTTAAACTTGGAGCCACAAAGGGATATATTTCAAGCATTTATGTAGATTAAATTAGATGGTTAAGGCTTACAGATAGTTCAGCCCCCCTCCAAGAAAAAAAAAAATCTGTTTCCAGAATCTTCAAATAGAGCATAATGTGATCAATAAACAATTTGAATACGAAAATACAAAGTTACAACATACACAATCCTGGGGAAGGCTGCTGATTTGAGTCACTGATACAAGCCATGGAGAGGTAAGGCAATAAAGCTCCAAGGGCAGTACGCAAGTATTTTCAACAATCTGGAAAGTTGAAACCAAGGTAAAAGGGTGGTAGAAAAAAGGAAGAAAAGTAGATCTATGTACTCAACTCTTGGCTAGGGCTACTTGCATAAATTATTGTACCACTGTACCATCAGCTCTGCTGATGTGCTGCTTTGATGACAACCTTCAGCATTCTTGCATTGTTTGGTCCAGTGAACACAATCACTTCCTGGTCATTAGAACCAGGTACTGGTACTTTTGGTAGTGTGAGCAGGTGCCGAGTGCTGCTGGAAAATGAATTCGGCATCTCAACAAGTCCTGTCAGCAGCAGATTTCTTGATAGATGGTTGGACTTGCTTTGGATCTGATAATCTGCAGTGGACCAACAGCAGCAGATAGCCTGACACCCCAACTAAACTCTGTGGAAACTTCACACTGGACCACAGGCGACTCGTATGCTAAGCCTCTCCACTGTTCCTCCAGATGCAGTGACCTCGATCCAACAGTTGCAGCTGTTGTCGTGGATACATCTGCAGTGGTTCTGGACATTCTGAACAAGCCTTGTAAATGTCCTCCTAAGCTCATGAATGGACTTTGCTTCACAATCCTCAAGGCTGCCATTATCCTTGCATGTGGGGCTTTTTCAACCACATTTTTCCTTCCACCTAATTATCTGTTAATATAGTTAGATTCCGTTTTCAAAACATGCAGTTTATGCAGTAGAGACCACTTGTGATTTACCATCTTTGTGGAGGGTATCAGTGACTTGAGTAATAACATTTCTCTACTAAAATCGTTTCTTTTATGCATGAATAAGTAATATTCAGATTTTCTGAAACTGAATCGTGGGTTTTCTTTAGCTGTAAGATCTAAACGCAATTTACTGAAATAGACCTGTAAATAAGTCAAATAAACAGCAAAATATGCTTATCCCTTGGGAAGCGTACTGAAGCGGCGGAGAACACACAGCCACCAAATGCAATAGATTGAAGAGGGGAGCAACGGGGCCCTGCTAATGAGGGCCAAGGTGTTGCTGATGGGATGTGGGGAGAGCCAAAAAGGGCCCAGAGAGGTGTGAGGGGCCTGAAGAAGGTTGGTCACGACTTATAATAGGCACCCCGTGCTCTCAGGCCTCGTTAGACGCTCGCACCTATCTTCCCGACGGAAGAGGACCGGGCAGCCACCTTCATTACCGGACTCACCTCAGCCTCTCACCTGACAAAAGTGATGGCTTCCCCGCACGCCCAACGCACCCTCTGACTTATTGTTAAGGCAAATAAAAGCCACGGGAGAGAGATAAGATGTCATTTGGTTGACGGGAGTGATAAATACGAGAGGTCAGGCACCTTCATCATTAAAAGGTGAGAGAAGGTAAGAATTTATTATCGATAGCTGATGGGGGTATTACTTCACGAGCCGTCCGAGAAAATGCCCCAAGCTTCCCGCCATTTTGGTTTCGCTCATCTGTTCTTTTGTGGAACTCTGGTAAGTCAGGAGGCTTGTATTTTCCTACATGAAGAAAAATGGATGTTGATTTTATGCAAACAAGACCAGGATGTGGTCGATACTTTCTTCATAAACTTTCTGAACTGCTGCCATCAAGTAAAAATCAATAAACTTAGAATTAGAAAACTTTATTTTCTCCCCAAAATTTCAGATAAATATTATGATCATTTTGGTGGCATATTGGGTGAGAAACTGGACACCAAATGACACCAACGGTTTAACCAGGCCATAAGGTCGATTTTCATCATTAGTGTCTAAATTGCCTTTACCATCCCTGACTAAATCCTGCTGCTCGAAGCTTTGCTAACAAAGTTAGAATGATATTAGGGTCGACACAAGCTGAGATGAAGAGACAGAATTATATAATTAGGAGTCAGAAAAGTTAGTTCGAATTAGTACTGCGTTTTAATCTTTAATTGCCAACATTGTGTGCCGATTACTAACCCTCTGGTAAAGGAGGTTTCTGCGAGCCCGTGGAGCTGCCTTTGCTCCGTCTGCTGCTGTCACTGTTGACCGACAAGCTGGACTTCAGCTTCCTCTGCACCCTGTGAGACACGGGCATGGACGGCTGCCTCCTGGGCTGCTCTGTCTGTGGCATGGCTGTCGCCGGCGCGTGCCCGGGGCCCGACCTGCCCGCCGCGCTAGCCCCGACGCCGGCGCCGCAGGTGCACGTCCTCGTGCCCTCAGGGCTGCCGATGCCGGAGTGGATTCCGTTGGCGTTGGATGCTGTGGGCGTGCCGGAGCTGTTGTGGGGAAAGCCATTTTGGTCCTTGGCAGTCTCTCGCTCCGCCTCCTCAGAAGGCGCTGGCTTCAGGTCAGACTCGGACCGCGGCTGAGCTGTTGAAAATAAAGGGACAGGATGTCATTTTGAGCTCTTTGTTGTCTTCAACAGAGCTGCACAACATGTTGGATGGTGAATCACAATTCACTGAAGGAAAGTAGAGAGTCATCAGCAAGGCACATTCAATAATAGAATTATAATAACATGTTTCTTGATTTTATAGAGGCATTTTGTTGTTTCTATGGCTCAAACTTTTGTTGGGCATCTTAAAGCAATAACTTAAAGCAATAATGTGCAATGCCACTTAGGAAAACTGATGGCTATATTTTCATATATTAACATGTCAATATTCATTAATAGGTACTGTCAATTAAAAAAAAAAATAAACTGGAACTTAAACTATTTAGGAAATTCTTAAACTTTCAGCCCTCCTTGCGTCTTGCACTTTATCTGCCGCCACTCTTAACAAGATAATGTCAGTCGTGTGACTAATATTTCAAACCCAAAAAAGCGAGCGAAGAGCAGAAACGTACAACTTCACATGTGAAAGAATCATGAAAGCCACCTGTGTAGTCAAACACATTTGTGGCAGCAGCTCCTTGGTGAGTTAGGTCGGCGTGAGACGGAGAGATTATTAGAGTAAAAAAAAAAAAAAAAAAAAGAGGAAAGGCAGCCCTGTGATAGTGTACAAATTTGTAAAATGGCTGCTGTCTGCAACAGTAATGATCTTCTCTCCTCTGAAAGCTTGGAGATGGCCTCAACCAGACTTTCTAAGTGCGTGTGTGACAGTCGCAGAAAGCCAAGAGACAGCAACCTGTCTGATAAGAAGGGAAAGGAAGGATGCGAGTGAGGAAAAAGGAGGTGGCATTTCACTGAGAGGAACACCTTGCACATTCAGCTCTACTGGGAGTTAACTCCTGCTTTAGCTTCCCTGCACATCAGAGCTCCGGTACATGTGCACACGCTGCCAGATTTTCTGAATTATTCATCTCTTTTTTTTTTTTCTTTTTTTTTTTAAGTTTCTCTGAGTGAACCCTTACTTATTTTAGACCTTATATGCATTGTCTATATGGCATCGTTGCAGCTAAGCTTTATATTCTGTCACATTTACCAGCTGTTGTAACAGAAACCTTTGCAAGCCTCCATATGTTCCCCCGCAAAAAAACAACAACAAAAAAACCAAAAACATACATTTTCCTAAGTGGATGCACACATGGATGTTAATGCGATGCTGGTAATTTGTTTCCATCTTTATTTTCTTTCTGTCAGCTCACCAACAAGTGCAATTACAGTTAACAAGAGAGCAGGAGTGTGGGAATGGGGGCCTTGCAGTTTTTAACAACACATCACCCTGGGAGAGGCCGGACGTGAATGTGGATGTAAAACAAAGCAATTAAATACGCACTCTGGGCTTTCGCCTTCTCCTCATGCAGGCGTCTGCGTGCTGCTTTAATAAACAAATACAGACTTTGGGGATCAGGATTCCATGCAATTTGAATTAGACAACTGCGTGGCATACCACGGAATTCATTATGCAGTGATTTAAAGGCCAGGTTGTTGGATTTTTTTCCATCTCTGAAAGACAAAAAAGCCAAAAGAACCCCGTCCATGACAACGTATGGAGCGACTGAATCATTCCTAACAAGGATAATCGCAAGAGGGTACATCTGTTGCTGCCTTTCACACATTTTTAATAAGTGTAACTTTCCTTTTCCTCCCCCCCACTTGTGTAGTCAATTTTGGTCTTGTTTATCAGTGTCAGCACAGTGTGCAATAGCAGTGTTATCACAGTTTGCGTAGCTTCGGGAGCTGACGGAGGGATATTTTTTTATTTATATATCGAGGAATAAACTAGCGGCCCATCTGAATTTATGTGTTTTGTTGCAAAGAAACAAAACACATCTATGAGCTCGAAGGCTCATAGAAAAAAAAAAAAAAATCAAAGTATAATTTTATGGGTGATATTGCCGATTGTTTTTTTTTTTTTCCTATTGTATTTGGGTTTACATGCAATAAAATCTAATTGGAATCCCTTTGCTGGAACAAATTACAAAGACCGTTTTATTCCTGTCAAATATCAACTTTGTTGTCCTTTTTTTTCCTCTCCCTTTTTGTTTCTTTATTATGATTAGGAGCTCAGACCTTTCCAGACTTTTAAAGAACTATCAAACTACCCGAAGATTTTGCACATGCAGTTGAAAATTATGACTAAATGTAACATGAGCTTCATTGGTATTTTTGCATTCATTTGTGATCTCAAAATATCTAAAGTAAATATTACATACAACATCGTTTTACATTGGTTTTACATAGCCAGTGGAATACAGTCACTGCATCGCAGGGACTGTATTTTAGGACAGTTGAGGTGGATTTCAGCATCCAGCCAGAACTGAGTGTCGTTGGGAATAGAGCCACCAGAGTTCTCCCTACTGGACCCGGTAACTCCGTGCCCCGAACTCAGATAAACATATAGCAATGGATGGATGGTAAACCATTTCACACATTTCATTAACACAGTTTAGCACATAATTTACTTCAAATTTGCAAAATTCAACAAGATGAGTGATGGCTAAAGACTTCTGCACATTAAATAAACCCACGTCTTTAAAGATCAGTCTCTGTTATTTTACACATATGGCACTAAACCCCCGTACACCAGATACAATGACACCGAAAAGGTAATATCAAAGCTTTATGTATTGAATAAAACGTAACAAACTCATCTCTATATCAAAGCAGTTTCTTATCCAATTTGTGTAGTGCCATAATAAGCTTAATAACAGCCATTTCACGTTATTTAGCTTAAGTGAAGCAGCCGCATGGACTCTCACATTCAAACCCACGTCGATGCATAAAAACAGCCAAAGAAGACTGGGAGGCATAATTGCCTTCCCTTTGCAGGAAGTCAACCTTCCAATTTGCCTACATATAAATACTTATTAAGAAACCACCAAGTAAAAATTAGAGTACATAAGCGGTTAGTCGGGTTTCAGATACAGTGCAGAGCTCCACAGAAGTGGCTAAACTCAGCGGAGTTCTGCTATTCGGTAGCAGGTCCTCGGTTTGGACAGTAATCACACAGTGGCAGTCTTTTATTTTTAACCTGCTGAAAATGGAGACTGAGATTAATGGACACAATGGAGCAATATTCATAATCATTGATCATAATAATGATCATACTGTCAAAGATGGCAATGACAGACTCGTACAGTCACCAGGAGACAAATGAAGAGATAATGAGAAAAAGCAGGAATGAGGAAAAACTGTAGAATTGGATTCCATTAAAACTTTTCACTGTGCACTTTAGTCCAGTATTGGGAAACTAAAGCAGAAATTACATTTTACACTTTTGTTTGTTCCTGACTGACAAAACCATATTGTCGTTATTTTAGTACATTAGTAACATTGATAATATTTCAGAGAACATTCATTCTGTGAAAAATACAATCCCAAAAAACAGTATTTGACATTATTGATGCCATATTTTTGCTATTCAAATAACTCATTTAATACAGCATTTTTGTCATTTAGATATTACAGTTTTAACATGTTCAAAGTTTTCGTAACTTTTGGGGTTATAAATGAGGCACAAAGCCTCAATGAGTCTGAAATACCAAAACTCTTGGGACTCAGTTTCTACTAATTCCATTTTGTGGTAATATTTTTTTAAAATAATATGGTCTGATATTTCATCTAAAGATACTTTAAAGTTACTTTTTGAAATTTTCATTAGGGCCTGCAATAATACACCCTGGTTATCAACAGTTTTACATTATTCCTACGACAGCCAATACAAAGATGTGAAACTTACAAATCCCTGCAAGTTTAATAAAAAAAAAAACATAAGTCCAACAATCTTCTAAGAAAGCAATAGAGAGTCCTGAAATGATTGAATGAACACAGCCCAACCGCAGGCACCGGAACAACATGTTTTGGAGGAAGAGCTGGACATCCGCACGCAACGTACACACACGCAAGCTTCAAATTGGACTTGTAACTGCCCTATTTCCAGCACATCAACAACTGTTGAGGGTGTACGTTTGTAGTTGAATAAAACATGGTATTCCCCTACACACGCTGTCGCACACATCACAGGGGAAACTAGGGGCTGAGTGGTTCTTGACTGTCTAAGCAGCATCCCAATTTGGTCCCAGCTACTAGTAGCTGACAGCCTCAAATATCTGGGGAGCATTTTTAAAAGGCCAGCGCTTGATGGATTCATGAAGAACACACAAATATAATTGCTATTTGTCCCAGAGTCTTCAGTGGCTGTGCCACACAGGGACCACACGGCGGAGTGCCTGAAGAGAACGGGAGTGCAGGGGTGGAGGGGGGTGGATCGCGTTGTATGTAAAACCGAGTATTCTGTATAAACACCTCGTTTTTGGCACAGAAAAATAGGTCCTACAGGAGGGAGCTGGAAACTGCACCAAAAAGAAAGAGAGAGAGGGAGAGAGAAAAAGGGAAAGAGAGAGAGAGAGAGAGAGAGAGAGAGAGGAGGAGGCCCTCACACACACATACACACACCCATCAAGGTGAAATATGCATACATGTACGCACGCATACATGTCAATTGAAACAAAGCTGTATAAACAAGCATTCTAAAATAGTTGGGCGCATGAAAATAGAGCACAAAAGGTCAAACAGGGCGGTATGGAGATTCTCATTTGCACAGCGCTGCATGAGGAGTCGCAGGTAAAGGCGTGGAGCAGATTGAACAATCACAGTGGAACCGCAGTTCTAAAGCTTGGTCCTTTTTAATATTAATGCCCCCGAGACGGGGAGAAACGGGCGAAAGGTGTTTGCTCAGGCTTATTAGAATGCCCATCATAGACAGCATACAGTTATTCAAATGTCACATCAGTCCCTCCAAATAAAACACCCCAATCCAGATCTTGTAGTCATCTCCTAATGGCCGTTATTACACAACGCAGCGAGTTTTGTGAGTTTACACTGAATAGAATATGCGATTGCCTTTACTGTTAGTTAGGAGCCACACAGGCAGGCCCCTGCGCCTTGTTTATCTTTTTATGCCAACGTATTAGAAAAACATGTA